ATTAAAATTCATGTAATTAGTAAATCAAAGTTAAATAAAAGTCCCACTCTAAGTGAAAATTAAACATAAAGATGAATATGCATTTTTGTTGTGTACGTCCTTTCACCAGTTCTGACTTCTGATAGAGTCAAGATAAAAACTCAAATTAGCTTTTTCTACTTTGTTACGTTGGAAAAATTTCAAACTCATACCAACTGTCAAGAACTTTGAATTGCCTTGTTGCTGAAAATGTACCATGAAAATATAATTGCCTTGTCTTGGTGAAGGAGGATTTGGGTTTGTTTTTGTCTGCAGACCTCAGAGCCTTTCACAGGTCGTCTGTTTGCCAAAGTACAAATATGAAGCTCTCTTTCTGCTGCTTAATCTAAACTTGTTCATAAACAGGAATCTGGCCCAGTCAAAGTCCAAACATCAAGCTGAAAACGGGAAAATGTGTTAAAACTTTAATGAACTCACACTAATGTTGTAAAGAGCAGCAGAATTAAAATGTTTCCTACATTTTACAGAGTGGTACATTTAGACCGAAACCAAAGAAGCAGTTAGAAACATGTTTTTTCTGATGTCTATGTTTCTGTCTCTAATTTTTAAAAAGTGCAGCTCAGTATGCAGTAGTGAAGCTGAAGTAAGGAGGTGTATGTAAATTTAAATGTAAAGTAGGATTATATTAGAGAAAGACAAATCCACAGCGGTAACTGCTTGCTCAGAGTGGATTGTCTCAGAGCCCAGAACAGTGTGGGTGGAAATATTTAAGAATCCTCCCTTTCATTTGGAAAGATATTACCACATATCCCCCTGCTTAATCATCCATCTATGTTTTATTTGTTAGAGCCAAACACAATTTCTAACCTACAAACTTTCACTAATTATTTAACCTCTTTTTTCGCCTAATACTGGAGGCGGTTGGCTGGCGTCAGTGTTTCAGAGTAAACATGATTGTTTACTCTGATCTACAATTCAATTACACCAACCTGCTCCCACAACAGCCGGCACCATGCTGTGCAAAACTTTATCGTTTCTCTGCCTAATTTTCTGCCACAAAACTTGTGATGGTGGATGACACATGCACCAACAACACCGCAGGATGGTGCTGTTATTTTTACAAGACATCAAAGTAAATTACTAAAAAATTATTGCACATAAAATCCGGTGCACAAAAAACAATATCAGTAGAAACTGTCTGTATGTAGTATTACTATGAAGGGGAACGCTTACTAAAAGCATTTCATATTAGATGGCCTAGATCTCTACTAAATGATGAAAGCCAAATGTCACATGAAGCCATTTTAAAGCTAAATGTACAGCTAAATATTTCCAGCACTCATTTCAAAAGATGCACTTTTTAGCAATGAAGGAAAACAAAGAACATGTGCTGGTGCATAAATGAGGACTTGTGTAACGGCATGCATTAAAGCTCTCAGAGGAATAGAGAAGCCTGCGTTTTAAGCTGTGTGATGGTGCTGAGCAGAGCTTAAACTCCTTGTGGCTTCCCAGCCCTCAAACAGCCAAGAGAAAATTACACACGTGTCACTCAGACTAATATATTATTAGGTGTTTCATGTTTCACACTCTCGTCTGTAAGTGTTGCTTAGGACAGCACATTCTCTGAGTCTTTTCAACAGAATGGGGATTTGTAACCGCAGCAATTAATGTTTGAATGTGAACTGTGTCAGCACAACATTAATGCCAAAAGTTGTAGGAGGTAAACGGCACGTCTGCTGCCCCGAGCTGGAAGGTGAGTAGTGTTTAACGAGGATATCGGTTTCTTCAAATACTTTGTCTCTTAATCTGTTAGGATATTAAGTTTTCTCTGGTTTTTTTAAAGGTTTGTAGGGAGAATCCAGGAGTAAGTATCTGCACCAGGTGAAGCAACCTGGATGTGAAGAATCAGGATTCTCATTAAAAATAAGCAGCTAAAGCAAACTGCTGCTTTCATACTTGGCACTTTTGCATGAGTCAGTTTGTCTGTATTTATGTTAAGCAGCCACATTTCTAAATGTTCTTACGGCCTTAAATTAGTTATGCTCCACAATTTATGTCAAAGGCCAAAAACGGACAAAACCATTTCGCGTTTTGTGCTTTTCTCCAGGGTGGAGTGAGAATACACTGAGGCTCTGTCCAAAGATTATTCATTGATTATTGATTATTCATTATACACACTATCTGATGGCTACATCATTCGACAGTCAGGTTAAAAACTGTAATGTTTTCTCCTCCTTATAAACCGTTGGAAATGCATTCCTTGGTATTACGTCATCTACAGAGGCTGCACATTGCAGGAAAATGTAAAAATTAGGATTCATCGATGATTGTTTGGATTTTAGTTTTTCTTTCAGAATCGTTGAAGCTATTTAGACATTTTGATCATTATTATCAATCCACATCATATCAAATTAGAAATTAGAAATTAGAAAGGCATTAAAAAAAATCATCAAAAGCAAAACCATGTGTTTAACCTTTTCCACTACAAGTTGCTGTATGGGTCATAAATCCTATGTAATGAGTGAGGAAACATGTCAAACTTAAGCAGATGCAGATATTACAGCAGAATATCAACCGTAAGAACAAACCTTAACCAACATGGTGAATAAATATAAATATAAACTTCTAGTAAAGATCTAAATCAAGTTATCTGTTTTTAAATTTACCCTGCTTTCATCATACCTGAAATTATTTTGGATTTATAGGTAAAATACTGACTACTCATGATTACTCTCTACAACTCTTTATGGCAAAAACATGTGAGAAAGTAGGAACGGCGATAAATTAGGAAAATGAAAAATGTCAGCAAAGCAGCAGTGAGAGTCACAGTGAGCAACGGAGTGGATGTGTTCATGTCTAAAAGTAAACATACAATACCCCACGCTCAGAGTTCTCCATGTGTGAATCTCTCTATTGGAGCAAGGGCAAGGCAGGTACAGGACGGAACAGGAAGGGTGGAGCCAAAGACAGGAAACAGGAAGATAGAGAGAAACAAAAGGGAGTGAGACTCCAGTCAGAGATGTGGTGTTAAAAACACATCTATTTCATCTACATGTTTTCATTGCTTCCATTCCCTCACATTTTTATTCTGTTTCTCTTGACAGTGAGAGAAAAAAACAAAATCAAACTTCACTAAGACTCTGACAGAATGTTTTCCACTCTAATTATAATTTCCTGCAGAGCTTCAGTAGGATTTTTGAACTCATACACACGATTGTCTTGAGGTTCTGGCAGTGATCTGAATACTGAAAAACCCATTTATTTTACTTCACCTCTGTGGAGAAGTTGCACATGGAATCAAATATAAACATGGCTCAGCACTGAAAACAATAAACTGATTTAATCTGATTTTTATCTAGTAATGTTGGCGTGAAAGGATCAGCCCTTCCCCACGTAGAGCAGACTTTCTGTCTGTATAAATTCTGAAAGTGTGGACATTTAATAGATCTTCAGCAAAAACGCTGTTATGTGATACATAAAGATTAGAGGATTCATCTGGGTGGCAGGTTTCAAAGTTGAATTATTACAGGTTGATATCCCAGAGCTTCATGAACAATTTATAAAATGGGTCAAAATAAACACCTACGGAAAAAATCTGCAGCCAGATAAAATCTCTCCAATCCCTGAGCTGTCGTGTGAAGAGGAAACGTGAACATGAAGCCAGATTGTTGAGGGAGAAATCTCATTCGCCTCTTTTGTCTCCAACTTTCAACACGTCTGTCACAGCTACTGGAGGTCGAAGCTTCTGTCTCAATGTTTAAAAATTCATCGTTAGCAGAACAAACAGATTATTAAACTAGTGGAACTAGTTTCAAAAAGCAAAGTTTTATCATTTTAGACCCACTTCAAACAGCCTCCATGATTGTTCATATTTCACACAATTAACTGAATAGCATAAATGTGTATTATTTATAATTGCCTCAGTAGGGTACAATGTCAGAATGTGGATCGTACAGCATTTCTGATGTGATGGACAGAGCAGGAAGAGAGGACAGAGACATGGAAGCTGGAATGCACAAAACGATGGATGCAACAAAGCAACTATGTATCCATGTAAAATCATAAATCAGATTTTATGTTTTGATGTTTGAGTTGGTTCAAAGTGATTAGAGGAATGAAGAGGGAGCAACTAATTACAAATACCAAAGCAACACCTTAGCCAAAACAATGGTAGCAAACATATATAAATATTGTTCATGTATCCTTTTTATTTAGTTTGAAGTTTATATGTTTATACTTTGTTTGCTGTGAGCATTTAAAAACCAAATCTTTATTCGTTCACACAGTCGTGATCAATAAAGTCGACTGATTCTAACTAGTTGCATAAAACCAAATACTTTCTGTATCTGTTTGTTTTCCACATTTCAGGATTTTAAACACCAGTTAGTTTTTTCTTGGTTTTTGTTTTTTATGTTAAACTCTTACCTGCTGCAGACATCTCATCAACTTCTCCTACCATTAATTTAATTAATTAAATACCATTAATTTTGGCTTTCACTTCATGCCAAACAAACTGATGATAGTAAACAGTCTCTCCAGCTACTGGGGAAAATAAAACAAATCTGTATCTCTAAATTAAAAACACGGATTTGTTTCTGACCACCTCTTTCCTGAACACATCATTACTTAAACTAATAATTAGCAGAGATGTATTCCAGTCCACACAGTTTAAGTTATTCACCTTGCATGAAATTATATCGCAATAACAAAACAGCAGCATTACTTTAAGCAGTTTGGTTATAAAACTGAAATTATGGATATTTCCCTGAAAACTGTTCCCTCCACTATCTGAGCAGGACATGTCCAACATGTGGCTGTCCACCCAAACCGGCGTCCAGGAGAAGAAAAGAATTAATTGAAGAAGCTGCCAAGAGGCGCATGGTAACTCTGGAGGAGCTGCACAGAATCACCGCTCTGGTGGGAGAATCGTTTGACGGAACAATTATCAGTTCCTGCCAAACCAGAAATGTGAAGTTAAAGGAAAAGTTTCCAGAATAAATGCAATGTTGATACCAAGTCATAGGAAGGATCCCATTTATAAGTGGAAACAAACCGTACAGGCAATGGCGTTCTGCGCAGTGAGCAACTATTTTTGTCAACATGCAAAACAGTGTGTGCTGTGGAGAACGAACATGCTGGAGACATAAAACATTTCTTTATTCATGCTGGGATAACATGTTCCTATCTCTGATATTTGCAGCTACAAAATAGAGATGAACTTCTGGGATTATTGAATGTGTGATAATAGATCAATAGTCAGTATTTTACCTGCAATGGAAAAACAGATCAAAGCTCGAGTGTTATTAACTCTGAGTTAAATAATAAATAAGCATGCCACTAGATTCTAATTTACAATACAAAATATTTTTTCTTTCACTTTAATATGATGCTCCACTTTGAATTTGTTTGCCATATAAAACCAAACATAAGGTAGATGGGACTTTGTGGTTGTTACACGGTAAAACAACAAAATGTTTGAGGTATAAATACTTTGAAGGTGTTGTATGTGTACATAATTTAGTTTTTCTCTGAGTTGTGTAAATCTTTTCCAAAGTGTTTATGTGCCTGCAGTCAGATTTCTGCAGGAACGTTTGTTCCTGCAGCCTGAAGCAGTCGAAGGCACCGCATAGCCAGAGGTAACACTTGGATTGTTTACTTCCTGGTTTGTGTACCGTCCTCACGTTTTCCCTTGAACTTCATGATTTGGAACATAAACTTGTGTGTTTATGTTCCAAATCAAATCAAAGTTAATTTTCTATTGCAGGGTGACAGCACATTTAAGGTATGTGGAAACTTTAGATCAACATTTTAAATATATATACACAGGTAAAGTTAAAAAACTGCAGATTTTCTCATTAAGTTGCAGTTCCAGATATGTCACCTTCCCTCAGTTTCTCAGCTGCTGTTCAGGCATTGTACACTAAAACACGCCCTTGTTTAGGGAATAGCAGAAACATTAATTATTCATCAATTCTGCTTTCAACATTTCAATAAAAAGTGTATATTGTGGTTGTGGTAGTTTGAGCCCTGAGGCTGTAGAAACACCAGATCCCCATTAAGACTTCAGCTGTGTCCACCGATGTTGAATTTTACATTAAATTATCAGCTACATGCCCCTCCAGCTTTGTTCAAATCCCCTCTGAAACACATGTAACAATTTCTTAAAAGAATGATCGGACAATTGGACATGCTCCCTTCCTGAAAAGTTTTGTCGCAGAATAATTTATGGGAAGTAAAAAGTGTGTAAAACACTTTCCATTTAAAAAAGAACCTTGTCTTTCCCACAGGGACAACTGGCTAAAGCGTACAGGTTTAAAATATAAATGACCAGAGAAAATGGTCTCTGACATTGTAAACGTTCTTCTGTCAGAGAGCATTTCCATCTTCATTTATCTCTTCTCCTTATAAATATCCTCACAAACTCGTTGTCTTATCTCTTTTTAACCCTACATAAAGTTGGAGCTTCACTTTCATGCTTCCTGCCTGCAACTTTCTTTAAAGTTGTTTTATTACCTCAGTACCTTCCACCACTCCTGTGTTGATCTAACCAGTGTCTGACTCTAATCCCACCTCAGAGTATGGATTGATTTAAATCACATCATCTGGACAGCCTGTCGGCTGCATCCTTTTGAGTACAGCTGTGTTGGGCTTCTAATTGGCTTTTTAATGCACACCATGCCCTGTTAGCCTGGTTAGCATTTATTAGCATATTAACTTGAACCCTGGGTTGAGAAGAGCGGATTTACTATCAGTTTTTATATTTTTCAAGCCTTATACATTTTTTCTTCTCTTTCATCTTCACTCTGAAGTCTCAACGTATTACCTATCTCTGTACGTCTTCTCGTTTCTTTCTGACTTTGATGGCAATTTATCCTCTGAGTGTTTGAGATGTTCTCCATCAGCCAGAGTTTGGCTCTGATGACCACTGCTAACTGACCCCATGTCCATGTTCTCTTATAATAATGTGTTCAGCCTGGGATCCTTTTTCTTCTGGTATAACACATCTTCCAAAATGTTCTGCTTTCCTTCCATTTGTCCTGCACATTATCCGACTGCATATATTATCTAAAATGCACATTTTGTTTTACCTTTACTCACTGTTTTGACCAACAGGTTTAAGTTAGGGCTGTTAATCGATTAATAAAATAAACTAATTAATAGCAAATCCGTTCAAATTAGTATCGATCGCTCTTGAAGGAAACGTAACAAAGATGATTGCATCACTTATGTTGCAAATATAACAATATTGGCAATAAAAGTGAAAGTTGTTGACTTATTGCTTATTGTCTGTTTTTACTCAAACACTGTTTAAAAGTGTTGAACTTGATTTTGCATGTAAAAAATGCACAATATAACTTAATTAAAAGCCTGATAAACATTCATTTTTTGGTTAAGAACATTGACAAACCGCAACAATTAGTGTAAACTCCAACTTCCAACATGTCTGCTTTGTTTTGAAGCAGATCTGTTCCTCCTCCTGGATCACAACAATGTTTGCAGGTCGACATGTTTTAGCTACCAACGACCGACGGTCTGTGTTTTAGCTGTTCGTTCCCTCGGCAGTGGCCCACCTCCCGCTCCAAACTGTTGGGAAGTGTCTGTCGCAGACCCTCCTCCCGGTTGTTTCGCCTTCAGCTGATATGTAAATGACGAGCTGCTTCAGTGGTAATTAAATTCACCTTTGCTACGAACGCAAATTACTTTGATTTTGTCCAAAGCACCATCTGGTGAAAGCTTAAAGCAAAATGGGTAATTTAATAGCGTGTCTGTTTTAATCCACTGCTAGTTTTACTGAACAAACAGAAGTGAGGTATGGCAACAATGAGGGAACACTTTTCAAATTAATCACTGCATTAATTTATTTTATAACTTCAAAGCAGAAAATTTTTTAAAAAGTAACAAGCTAAAGAAATGAACCGCTTCTGAGTCATCCCGACCAAAAACAACCAATCAGAGCCAGGAGGAAGGCCTTAGCACTGTCAATCAATCTCATGTACTTGCTGCTAAATGTGCTAATGGCGGAGAAACAACGTACCGTTACAGGGAAACTGTTTATCCGCCATTGGGAGTGGCTATGCTAACTAACCTGAGGATTCGTGACAGGCTGTGCTAGCTGCAGAGAGAAGGAGAGAGGGACGAGCAGCACCACACACAGGGGTGACTGGCAGCGCTAAGACCCTCCTCCTGGCTCTGATTTGTTGTTTCTAGTTAGCACTGGGAGCTCTAGGAGAAAGAAGAGGAGCTTAAATTTTTCAAAGATTATCTGTCTCATACCACACTGTCACAACATAGTGACTGTTTCAACATATATGTAAAAAAATATATATGTATGTATATATGTTTACATAACAGAAACACACTGCAGCTTAACTCATCACACAATGTTCAAAAGAACAGAAATGCCAGAAAAAAAGAAATGACAGACAACAACCTCCTTTCCTTCACATAAACACTGAAAATGTGTCGCCTTGTCTGTCAAAGACGGGCTTCAGATGAGCAGGAAGTTTATAGAGCAAACTAACAACTGTTGAAACCCCGATTCTTTTAAAAACATCTGTGGAAGCATTGGGTGACCAAGAGGCAGCCAAGAAAGGATTTACAATTTCTGTAGGTTGAAATTCCTGCTGAGATGTGTGCAAACCTCAAGACCAGACAAGAAGCATCACATCACGTCTTCGATAACAAGGATTCACCCACACTATGAACTTTTTACTTATTCACTGACAAATATCTGAAAGCTAGACGGTTAGTCTGTACATCCAAGGCCATTAGCAGCCCAGCTAAGACCAATATGAAGAAACAGACATTTCCACCAACCAACAATAAAATCTGATGCATCAGTTAATCTCTTCATCCGACTGTCTTCATGTCCTACCGCAGGTTTACCAAAGTTCTGCTTGGACCCAGAATGTCTCATCGTGTGCTATGAGAGACGTTTGTGGAGCAAAAAATGTAAATAAACTGGATTTAAATTAAACAGAATTTAAATTATATTTATTCTACAAAATAAATCTAATTTAGAAGAGTTTGCCAATATATTGATGAAGATGTTATATTTAACTCCATGCTTGTTTGGAAATGCTTAAAACACAAGATTTGCATTTCTGTGCTGATTTTGCATCAAGTAGTTTTAAATGTGAAGGACAAACGGCATATTAAGCAATAATTGGTGAGTTATGAAATATTTAGTGTCATATTGTTCTGTCAAGTGAGATAATCTCCAGAAACCACGACAATAATGCCAAACATCAAACAGAAATGGGTCCAAGTAAAACAAACTGCATAAGCAGAATGAGGAAAAGGGGATGAAGGGATGCAGAAAAGAGAAAGAGAGAATGTAAAGGGAAGGAAGAAGGTGATGGAGGCCAGCAGGTCTGCATGACCACCAAGACTCAGCCAGGATTTTTTAATCATTGGAAATTGGATTATATTGGTTACATTTACCTCTTTTATATTTTTTCTAAGTTTGACTGGAAATCAGAGACGTGACTACGTTTCCATTTTTACATTTTCGCTTTGCCTGACAAGAAAACAGTTTTTAAGCTTTTAAAGTTTCCACAATCCCTTTTCATAAAAATTATCCCCAAATTAAAAACAAACTTTTACCACTCTTTTTTTTAAGAATAAACACATTTACTTTTCAACATTGATGACTCTTTTTTTAATAACTGGTACTAATGAGGACACTTCCAGATTTATAAAGTCTCTCCCTAACTCTAATAATATTTTTGGAACAAAAATCAAGTTGTGATGCTTTTTAACATTATTATGCCTGAAAGGCATCAAGATTGTTGGTAGACTTTGATGTTCAGTCTCTCAGTTTAAAGGTCTGGTCAGTCTAAAAAAATCTACTTTTTTTTTCTTTTTTGCCATGACTTGTTGAAAAGGGAAGAATTAAAAATGGCAACCTCAAACTGTTTCATCTTGAGCCAATGTTACATTTCAGTCTTTAACAAAGTCTCTCAAGGAATATTTGACAGGACCTTCAAATCCTGATCATGATGCATCAAACAGAGGCTACCAACGATCTGATAATCAAAGTTAAAGAGTTTTTGAAATCTTACACAAGCAGCTTTAGGTCCCTTGCACATAGGAAGCTGTGGCTGTTTCAAACATGTTTCTTATCTAAGATCTCATCCACATGAAGATGATTTTAGTTGTTATCCAGAAATATGTTTTGTGGTTTAGGAAGTGCATCCACACAGATTCTGTATCTTTTAGACCAGAATCGTTTTGAAACCAGGTTCCAAACGTTGGTTTCATGTTTCCATAAGGCCGTGCCAGCCACATGTTTTTTTAAATGATGAGGTCGCAGCTCCATCTCGTTCTCTATCCTCCATCTGCCTCGCTCTCACACAAACCCAACATGGTGCCGTTCGGCGGGGTTACCAGATCCTGCAGTCTATATGTAATATTTTTTATTTTTTGTGGCACCATATCATTTAAATTTAATGAACTTGCACCAGGATTTCTGTTTTACAATCCCACTTGATTAACCAAGTTCTACCGATTAAATGAATAAACTGTGCCCAATTGAGAGGAAACCTGTCCAATCTGGCAACACAGCACTGAATCCTTAATGTGCCTGGAAAGACCTTAAATCAACCTGCTGTGGTCTCATTAAAAGCAGCACTGGGTTTGGCTGGGTTATTTATTCCTTCTTATTTTTTTCTTTTACAGACAGACTCTGAAAACCAACCACTTCCTGTGTGCACAAGTCCTGCAGCTGCTGCTCCTCACATGCCGTTTGGTTTCAGTGCATACCTGCGCTTGAAGGTCAGGATGACTCCGAGGAGGATGATGATGATCATGAGACTCCCTGCGATCATGCCAGCCATTTTCACCGTGCTGTCCACCTGCTTCTCCGGCTCCATGGCATCTGAATCCTGGGTGGATGCACCTGAGTGTCCACACACACACACACACACACACACACACACACACACACACACACACACACACACACACACACACACACACACACAAAACGTCATATCGGTAGGCAGAATCCAGCAAATACAGTCTCAAAGAAACAAACAGACTTTTACATACAAAAACAACACACACAGTCCATGCTGCATTAATTTACACAAAGGATCAAGTTCATGCACAAACATACAGCATACATTAGTCAGCTACAAGGGAAGGCAACATGATTAGTCCCAAAGTGAGGAGATGACTAAACATTCCTTCAAAACAGTTAAATAAGAGCAATGAAAGTTATGCAGGAGGATAAAATATGAAAGAGAGACAATATACAGCAGACCCCCTCCTAAATCAGCAAAATCTTCCCTATTTGCAGATTATCTTTTATTTATTCATTTATTTTTGTGGAGGATATCTAAAATGTGCAGCTTGGGAAACTGAAATACTCAGGTGTTGTGCTACTTGACTTGGCTGCTGCTTACAAAGCAACCAATCCATTTTCCTCTGTGTGCTGAGCTGTAAATATGTAGATGTTAGCTTCTACAGAAGAGCCAAGATGGTTTCCACAATGCAAATTAAGATTAAACTATCAAAATAAAGAGCTGTGCTTCGTAACCCTGGTGATAACTGATGGTCCACTCAGTATCTGAGAAGGAGGACAATTTTATTTAAATAAGAAAACTAAAAACAATAAGGATATTTAGTTTTCCTTTTTTCTTTTCAAAATAGTTAATCTTTTAACCAAATAAAGAAAAAACAGAAATGTAAGTTGGTTGGGTGACCAAGACATTTAGGAGTGCAAAGAACATGATAAAAGTAAAAACAAACCAAAAAATGTGGGTAAACATAAGATATGTCGGCTCCAACTTTACTTATAGTAAAAAACTAAATAAATGAATAAAGAAATGTGTCAAAAAGAAACGAAGGGTAAATAATCAGAAAGGCGGGAAGGAGCTCCAAAGAAAATGTACAAAAATTATTTCATTTCCTTCTGCTGCTGAGTTTTTTAGTCATTCAGTGTAAATTGATGAACAATAGCCCTAAATTGGTGTGAAAATAAAACCTGTTTTGAGGGAAAGTTTGCAATTTCTTTGTAGCTTCCAATAATGTGGAAAAAGTTAAAGTGGTTGTGCAGAAGGTCTCTGTCTCTCCACTCGGTACGATGAACAAACGATGGATACTGCAAGGCAGAACAATTATGGTTTATTTGGAAAGTATAAATAGATATATTATTCCTTCTTAAAATATTTTCTTTGTATTTCAGATTTTTATTTTGAAGCACCTCCAACACAACAAATCCTCCACTGAATAAAATCCAGATAAATGTAGAGGCCAGCTGAACACCTGAAGATGGATTTTTAAGTGGCTGATGCTTCTGGGAAGGCCACTTCCAGGGGTCTACTTTGTTAGCACAGTGTTGAAGTAGCACAACAATATTCAGAACGTCACCATCAGCCGAGGCTCCCGAGGCAAACATTCCCCGAAGCAACACACTGAACCAAGTTAAATTAAATTAAATATTTCAGAATATAAAAAATCCACAAAGACAGATAGAAAACTGTAAATGCAAAACACAAGTTGGACGATCAAACAGTCCTAAATATCAATGCATATTATTGTGGCCACAGAAAACAGATTTTTCTGGACAGATCAACACCAACATGTATTTAGAGAGACGATCCTGAACTGAAATATGAACAGAACATCTGACAGGACAGACTAAAGGATTAAATGCTCTGAAAGGCAACGTCTAACTCCACATGTCCTCTTAGCTGTCAGAAAGGTCTTCCTCTGTTGGAAATTTTAGGATTGTATTTTACAAAGATTGACACTGGACAGGCCAGAAAGTGACAAGGAGAAAACAAAAAGTTGAGAGGAACAAAGTTGAAAAGCAGAACAACTATAAATCAAGATTTTATAGGCCTCTTATTTAAAAGCCTGCGATTGTGCACATGAATGCTCCCGCTCACACCGAGCAGACTCTTGTTATAACCTTGATAGACAAAGACAGGCGATTAATAGAGTAATACTGCTGTGTGGGAGTTCAGTTAATCCCTTGTCTCTCATCTTCACCCCCTCTGCAATAACACAAGGTTGGCAGCAGAATACACCGAACTAGCGGCTTAAGCACCTAACCTTGGCACACTTGGTAATAGCTGCTGCAGTCCTCAATGGCTGCACTGATGAGATGTTCTTATGAAATCCCTGAACGCCCTCAATGACGGACCATTCACAGACGGCCTCTCCATCCTTACACGCGTTTGAAAAAATATGCACACAAGACAAATACTTCTGTCACTCTCAATCCCACGCTTCAATGCTGAAAAAGAAATGCCACTTTACCCTGAATGTTTTTAAAAGGGATTACAGAGACATTTCAATCGAGGGCTTGATGCATTTCTGAAAGAGCGAATAGTGTTTATTGCTACTTGGAACAAACAATGGTTCTGCTAATCATCAGTTGGCTCAATGAAACTGGGAGATTTATCTATTAACTTTAATGTAGTTCAGATCTGAAATATAAATACACGATAAAAATGTAGAGATATTCGACTTCAGAGTGAAATTTCAAGGTTGAACCTAAAATGCACAATGACCATTGATGATGCTTCGGGGAAGATAACTTCCCTGAAGCACATTAAGGTGAACTTACTGGGATCTTCTCTAAATTTTGGAATGCACGTGTACAGATGTGCATTCAATACAAAACATGTTCAATACGTTTACTGCTCAAAATCATTCTTAGATGATAAGATTTTAGTCTGCTCAGTTTTGTTGAGCTCCCTTCAGAATCAGCTGTTTTAGGGCGCTGTCACTTTAAATCAAATAAGCTGTTGCTGGCCACACCCACCAACTCAACGTTTACATTATATAACTGCACATTTTTGAAAAGCACAAGTGGAACCTCCTGCACAACCAACAAGAATAAGGCAAGTAGCTTCTGGATGGTAAGTTGACCACAAAACACTCGGCTTTTCCAGGGTCATGACCAACTTATGTGATTTTAGTTTTGTTTCTTAAACGGTGGAAACACCAAAATTCCCAAATTGTGTTTTTTTGACATTGGTGGAATATTGACAAAGTTTTGCACACATTTGCAATGGAAATGTAGCAACTGTTGTTACCAGATAAATGCACATTAAGACATTCTCAATGTGCATTTTAAATCCCAGGTCTAACAGTAAGCACAATGATAAATATGTTTCAGATTATGGTGGGACATAATAAAGCAACAACTAATTCTCAGATGCTCTATAAACTGCAGTTTTACTTCAGTTTTGCTCTTGCAACTTCTTCAAATCTGTCAACCCCTTCATAATTGAATAATCTGATTTATTGCTTTGCGATTTTAAATTTGTCCTAAATAAGAATATTCCACTGATTTAGCACATAAAGACAGTCGATTTTACAATTCAGAACAATCTGCTTCTTTTCATGTGTTGTAAGAGTACATGCTTTACATTTAGCCTCCAAAAGTCAAACAATGTGGACATCTCACACCTAAAGTTTGCATTTTGTCTGCTTTAATTCCAACCAGCTTCAGAGAAGCAGCAGGCATAAAAAAGTGAATCTTTCTGTTTTCCACTCATGCCCACTTCATGCTGCCCTCTCTGTAATCAGAGACCAGAAGTTCCTAGTTGTCCATCAAGCACATTACGGTTACACGAGAGCCTTGGGCGATCATGCAGGAGACGAGCGCTCACATTTCCATGTCAGCCTGTGCCCCAGTAATCACCTCACAGGTGTATTAAAGCTCAATTTCCCCCCTGAGTGATCCACATTATGTATCAGCTGGCACGTTTCACTGTGACCCCCCATTTGTTCACACTTCACAGCCTCACGTGCTGATTGGGTTCAACAGTTCATGATGCAACAGCAGAGGACCCCATCTGGCACCGGGTTCAGCTCCATTTGACATTGCAATAGACCAGGTTGGGAGCCGATCAGGTGAACTCAGACGGCGCTCTGACCAGGACAGGAGAGATGTGAGGTAATACAAGCATGTCCATTACAAAGAGGTGAGACCTGAGTTGAAGCAAAATACCACGGCTAAATGGGATTGATTCACAGCTGGTGGAGGAGCAATATGGAGGCTGGGGGAGCCTCATTTATAGCTGTATTGTTATAATGAGCCAACAGGTGGCATATGACACTTTATGGATAAATCTTCCTTTCTTACCACCGGTGGCTTTAAACGGAGTCCATAAAAGGAACTGTCGTACCATTTATACACAATACACATTTTGATTTTGTGTCAGTATTCCTTCCTAAAAGAATATTTTACACAAGGAGACAAGAAATGATTGTGAATTACTCTTTCACTTTATACAACTATATATATATATATATATATATATATATATATATATATATATATATATATATATATATAAAAAAAAAAATTCCCCTCTCACCCTCCGTGGGTGGTCTCTTTCATCCTCTGAGCTTGGGTCCTC